GCAAGATGTGATGGAAAAAGCTGCAATATCTAGGTAATATAAGAAACGAGTTTTTTGGATTTTATTGCACCACTCAGTTATATGACAAATATAATTTGTAATTTATTAAAACTATACTTATCAATAGGTTTGTATTTGATTACATTTTACAATATAGAGGCTAAATCCATCACACTCTGGTCAGCTTATAGATTTAAAACCAAGAAATAGTATTAAAGGAACAAAGATCTTAGTTGTCTGGGGAAAAAATGTTCATAGCAAATAAAAACCCTGCAGAGGCTTAACATCCAACATTTCCCAAGGTCTGGGAGAATAGCTAGGTTTTCAGCACCTTTTAGAAATTTACTGCATTGCTGGGGTGGGAGACATACATCTAGCTTTTCCCAAAGACAGGTGCTGCAACAATGAACACTTCCTAAGCACCACTAAATGATGCTGTTTAATCAAAGAGACCTGTCTAGTTTTACATTATGATTTTGCTGTTGTTTTTTTCAACATTGCAGAATTACATGGCTACATCTGAATCAAAAGTTGGGTTTTTAAGTCCCGGTCAATTTTGCTTAACTCATGCTACATATTTTCACCTAAATTAACCTGACAGATCCTGTGGTGTTTTGGGTTTTTATATTAATATATTTATGTTTTTAGTTTATATAGTTTAGTTTTTTTTTTTTATGAGCAGCCCAGAATTACCTTGAAGTAAGATGAGCGACCTATAAATTTTATAAATAAATAAAATCTGAGAATTTGTCTTAAGTATAACAATTAAGCTGACATTTTTACACATTAAAAAGTATACTTTTACCAATCTTCTGTTTCAGTATAATTAAAATTTAGAAATATGAAAGAAACGAATATGCAGATGCTATTGTTAAACAACTGAAAAGTTTAAATATTTATTAGACTCACTTCGCATTTTTATATTTAGGTGTCTGCTTCATTCTGGAGGAAAGATATTCCCAGACCATGTGAAAATATATGGAATGCTTGTAGAATCTAATTTATTATTACTTGAATCTGCTGTTCAAGGGACAGATCCCACACTTGGTTTCAACATAGCACCTTTTATCAACCAATTCAAGGTTTGAAACAATTTACATTTTCTATATTCAGATAGTCCTTCAAATATTGAGAAATCAGGAAAAAATCCAAGTTTTAAAGACAAATCAATTGTGTGTTATCCAGAATTTGAAAAGCTGCTTATTGAAAAATAAGAAAATAGATTAAAGAAAATAATGAAGATCTAATCATGTATATATGAAAAGTCTTCAAATGTTTTATTACGCAGAGTCTTCAAGCATACAATGATAAAATAATGCAACAGAAGTACAATTTATGAGAAGCTGATGGAAATATGGTTGGTTTCACTAGTTTGGAATTTTTTTTTTCCCCAAAATAAAACTGGCTACCTGTTTCCATCTCCTGTTGGTAATTAATGTTGTTCACTTTTTTAGCAATATATATTTCTACTGTTCCATACATTTCTGTCATTAGAACTTGATTGACTTTAATTTTGTAAAACTCTTTTGTACTATTTTAATTGTAATAGCTTGGAATTCTGAATTCTGTCAATAAAGTACTACAATTCACAATTATTTTGCAACTATCAGTATGGTAAATTGGCACAGGGACATATTTACATAGTATAGATGTAACACCAACAGTTTTAACCACATAAAGTCTTAAGACTCAGAAATATGTATGAATGTCAGGATGGAACATAGAATCTTAAAACTTTCTGTTTCAGGTGCCTATCCGCATTTTTTTGGATCTCTCCACACTCCCATATATACCTTTAAGCAACTCAATAGAACTTCTGCAAGTGGATCTCATGAATCCTTACTTGAATAACAGTAGTGAAGTTGAGGTAAGTCTCCAAAATAGAAATTAATTGATGTTCAATTTCTCAATTATTTCTTCACAAATTCTCATTTTTGAGAAACAGAAGCTTGCAGGCATATGGCATATTTTCTGTGTTCTGTCCCTAGTTTAACTGCCATTGCTTATATGAAGATCTATTAAGCTGCTTTTTTTCTAAGCAGAAAGCAACACTGCAGAATAGGTTTCCAAAAATGTATACAGCTTGATTGCTTCCATTGTTGCTTATTTAGTCTCAAATTTATATAGCTGCCCATCTCACAAATCAAGTGACTCAACAAAGCAAGCAACAATATTAAAAAATAGTAGTTTCAGTGTAACTATTAAAAACATTTAAAAAATATAAAACACAACAAAAATGGGCTGAGATATTGATAATAGAACCATCTCATTAGTTTGCCAATATTAATTTGTAGTTTACTTACTTAGATCAGACTTATGCAAAGTGCGTATATTTGCAGAAAAAAATCATTTTAGAAAAAGCAGCTTTTAGATTGAGTCCAACCCAGTGGTGAAATCTGAACTGGTTTGCTACCGGTTCGCTGGCCGCGCTGTAAAGAACCAGTAGTAAAAAAAATGTTTAAAAAATAAAAAAAAAAAAAGGTGTGACGATTGCATGTCGCTCAGCTGATCGTCGGAACTTTACATTTTTTTTACTACCAGTTCAGTGAACCAGTAGCATTTTTTACTACTGGTTCGGGTGAACTGGCCTGAACCGGTAGCATTTCACCACTGGTCCAACTTCTTTCTCAATGCTGGAATCCAAATTAAAATAGTCCAGATAGCTAGCTTACTAGTCTCTATTTGAATGTATCCAATAGAATTTTACCATTTGTCTGAGTGAATGGGTTGAACTGGCCATATTGTTAGCCCTCAAAGTTTAGCATGGCCAACTGCATTAGTTCCCTAATAATCTACATTATTCTTCTATGAATAAGTTCTAGTTCTCTGAATTGTTCTCAAACCAGGGACACAATATTTGATATGGGTTTGACCTTAATAAAATAGAGTAAAATTATTACTTCTAATGATTTGGAAGTGATACCTTTATTTATACAGCCTAAAATTGTACTGTCTGCCTCATAGTCAGTTTGCAATCAACTATTATGCCAAAATATTTTTTCAATAATTAAGTCAGATATCCATCATCCTGTGCCTGTGCCTGTTTATATTTGTTTTCCCAGAACTTTCTGCTTGTTTCAGCTGACTTTCATTCTGTTAATTTCAGCTCATTTTTCTAAATACTTCAAGATTGTTTTGAATTCCGTATTCTTGGGTATTATTCGTCACACCCAATTCAATAAGTGTTTTCTCCACCTTTTTATACAAAATCATTAATGAAATTTGGATCTTATATTTCCTCCTTTAGAAGCATTTGTAACAAGTCATAAAAATGGCAAAATTACATGCAGGTGTGCACATTATATACTTCCCTTAGAGAAATATTTTCATTTAATTTTATCAAAACAAAAACAGTTTACTGCTGAACAGTAATTTCACACATTAATTTTATAGGTGGAGATTTGTAAATCGGGTCAAGTGACTGGTATTCCATTTTGGTATCATGTATATCTGGATAATGATATTGTTTTGGATACATCAAGCAAGTCATCTCACTGGAAACAAGCTGCCATTGTGCTTGATAAACCCATTCAGGTTCAAGAAGGAGAAAAGCTTATTCTAAGTATTCATTATTATAAAAGCAACATCAGTGTAGTAATAAAACAGTAAGATACAGCTTTTCTTAATTAGGTTTGAATGTCTACATTCCAAATTTATGTTCTATAATTTAGTAATAACCTTGGTAAAATACGATACTTGTTCAATTTGCAAAAGAAGTTAATCTGAATAGAGCATTTTATAATGTTGCAAAACATCGTTTTTCAATTGCAAAAAAAATTACTATGGACTTGAAGAATTGCTTTTTTTTTTACATTGTAGAAAATTACTAAATAAAAAGTATAAAAATATAATTAAATGGTGATTCGACAATACGGTTTCTTACATGTTTGCAGATTACAAAAATAGTGAATTAACTGGCAAAGAAGGTAATACTCTTTTTTAGATCATTAGTCCTAAAGAACTTGAAATGATAATCCTTAATTTTACAATGGTGAAAATTCCTTGATGTATAATGTTAAAATGGTTCTTGTGTATTTATAAGTCTTCATTTTTAGTAAATGTTTGTAATAATTTGTTCCTGATAGGAGAAAAAGAATTTTTCAAAACTATTTTATAATACAGAATGCAAAGTAAAGAGCAGAGTATATAATTATTTTGTATCTCATCCAATAGCCATTTGTTTTATTAGCATATTTTTGTCAATTCCCATTAAAACTATTTCCTATTTTTAAAAAAAGAATCTACATGCCAGCACCATCTGCAGATGTATTCAAAATAACAGCCACCGGAACCTCAAGTTACTTTTAAAGTTTTCTAAGACCAGCTGGAAAAAATGCAATAAATATCATTTCTTAGTATAAAGTCCTAAATAGCTTTTTTTAGATTATGGACATTTAAAAACAGGCTATATTTTATAAGTTCTGTTTATGCATAAAAGATCAAATCAGCTGGATAGAGAGCTTAACTAGCAAGATCTTCCTTTTTCTTATGTAAGAAACATAAAGGGCAAGGGAATAATTGTGTTTGGACTTACAGAGTAGCAAGAGGATCTGCTTAGGAATTTGCTGACAAGTTAGCTGAAATGATGCAATGAACAGTACAGAACAGAAACTAAAGTTACCAGGAACCAGCCTGATAGGAAAAAGAAATGCAAGGGAAACAAAAGAAATAACCAGAATATACAGTAGAATGCAATGAGAAAAGGATACTAAGAAATATTACCCAGAAAATAGCCTATACCAATATCTCCATATTGCAGAACAGATGGATTGAAAATTAAGGGCAAATATTCTTACATATTAATATTAGATTATAAAGTGGCAGCAGAGTAATATAAGTAAAGTAATGTAAAATGCTATTAAGAATAATTTATTGGGTTATTTTATAGCCTGGTATCACGGAAGTTCAGATCCTTCATTAGAGCTAACGTTTTTCTATTTTATTAATTGGCAGGGCAAGAGAGGATTATTTTCCTCAATGTTAGAAGAATCCGACACAAATTTTAAATAAAAGTTTATTTAGTTATATACAGTATGAAACAATAAGTACACCCTTTTTGCCTCTTTAATCAATTTCACTTAAGGACACAATGAGGTTAAACAAAATATGTAGTCCAGTAAGGCCAAGTAATTACAAACATACTACTGTAGTACTGCAAAATACTTGTAGCATGAGTTCACTGTACCTATTTCAAGATCAATTAAGAAAAACCTCATGTTTGAATATTAAAACATTGAGCTCTTGAAAGTGCTATTTCAAAAATACAATTCTTGGTGCAAATTTTTATATGTGTAACAGCAAGCATGCAAAACATGTATAAACATGATTAAAAAAAGATGAGAAAACTTAAAGCCCATATTGTTTTATTACATCCATGTATTTTACAACTGTATAATTATTTGTTTTTGCCTAGACAAGTATCTTTCACTTGATAGTGCTAACAAGAATGTTTTTAAACTCATTCAGTAGTGTATAACATACACTTAATACAATCTTAATAAAGATTTTCAGATCAATGTTTTCCAAGCTTGGAAACTTTTAAGAAATGTGGACTTCAATTCCCATAATTCCCCAGTTGAATTATGGAAGTTGAAGTCAACAATCTTAAAATTGCTAAGCTTGAAAACACTGTTAAATTATTCAATCTACAAGGCCAACCCAAACAAATTAGCTTTACTTTAGTAGTATATGCTGATCATGCCTTTTTTTAAAAAAAAAAGAACAATTTCAAGACACTAGACCTAGTAAAGTCTTTAAATATTAGCTCTGTAAAGATTCTGGTATATTTAAGTTAATTAAAAGGGTGAATCGAAAAATTAGAATTTGAATCCTATTTAAAACCTGTCCCCATCTCAAATCTCAACATGTGCTCTCATTTACTGTAAGAATTCTATGCCAGATTGAGTTGTTTTCAATCGTATACATTATGTGTTCCCTATTATTTTCTTTCAATATTCAAATTCAATATTTATGTACTATATTATAGCACTAAAACTACGTTCTTTATGCATGGTTAACTTCATCAAATAACAAATGCATATTTCACTTTAGTTGAGAGAGTAAAAAGTAAAGCCCAACCACCTGTCTTTAGTATTTCTTCAATAAATAACTCTACTGTAGAAATGTACTTCCAAAGTAAGAGTAGCAGATAGTAAGTAATGTCTAAGAAAGGCCCTCAAGATATTTGAACAGAGCTTTAAATTTTATCTATACGCTTATTTGGTTGAACAGAAAAATCCTCATTATGTTCTACAGAATTACACAAATCAGCAGCTATAGGGTCAGAAGGCATTGTTGGAGTCGTAGTATGTCCAAATCCTTGGTAATGACCCACAGGTGATGATGGTACCGAAGCAGCAGCAGAAATTGGGTCTTGGCTGGATGTTGACAACAAACTTGTATGTTCATTTTGTTCCTGATCCTCACCAAAAAACATTTTCCTTGGTTGACCAAATACCGTCCTTCCTAAAGACAAGAAATTTTAAACATTGCCGTTAATTAAACCTGATAAAAGTTTAAAATATTAACTGAACAGCTAAAGTACTTATATTTAATAATTATTTGCTAAAGATATACTGTATTTTCATTTTTTGCTTACCAACATTGCGAACCTGTTCTGTTACATCTGCTCTGATATCTGAAATATCCCACATTGCAAGAAATGAATCAAAGCATGATCCTTCTTCAGCTTCTTGCACATAAGGCTTGTAGGTAAAACTGTAATGATGAGCAATTGCAGCAAAGAACATTTCAACACAGATGATAAAATCCTAAGCAAAGAAAAAATAATTTTATTCCTATTCACTCCATAATTAAACAACTTCAAACTGTAAGGATTTCTACTTTAATGACCATTATAATGTAAAATATTTTTAGAATGGCATGCTTTTCACCAATTATAATAAGTTGAAAAAACAATTTTAAGGACTACCAATTGTATGAGGTCATGACCATCCATAATCCTGCCACTATTGTTTCTTAAGGGACTTTCTAACCAAAAATCTAACCTCATAAAGAACTCAGTAAGTGGAGAATCCAATGTCCAGTTCTCTCTTTAGAGCTATAAACCTGTTCCTACTCTCAGAACTGAGAGCCATCAGTTCTTGATTTTGGGTATGCCATCCCTTGGGCAATAATGTAACACCCAATAAATATTGCAAATCATGATGCTACAGTCTGTACACGGGATAATCTTGAACACAGACCAGAAGTTTTATTCATTGCAGAATACAACTAGTCTGACTGTTAAACGAATATATGCAAGGAAACAAATAATTCTGGTTCTAGAGCACTGCAATAGATGTCTACCATCTGCCAGGCCCAGTTTAAGATGTTAGCATGAATCCATAAAAGCTGCATGGTTTATGACTCAGATACTTATAAAATTGTCTTTCCCATATACTAATATCAATCAGCTGCAGATGTTATATTAACTACTGACCAATAGGAAACATTACATGACCAGGTTTGTCATTATTAAAGCATCTTGAGATACTGCTGTAAATTCACAGGAATGCTGAGGCATATTTTAAAATTTTTGAAGGAAAATTTTAGTAACACTGGGCACCATATCTACTACCAGCACAAAAAAGATCACAGATTTATCTAAGGTTAGGGTTAGGGTGAAAAAAATTAGTAAGACACTTAACACTGCCATGAACCAAGAAAATTTAGAAACTTCTGGTTTATTGGGATAGGTGTAGATATTAAATCCTATTAAAGGACTGAATATAAAATATATAGATTGTATGATACCTACACTTTAGAATCCTAAATAAGGCTGAAAACATTCATGTATTGCCTCTTACTAATCCATAACTAAGATAACAGAGCATTGTCACTGCCAGGTTCTGAATAGAAGCACAGTAAAGACTTCAGTTTAGCTGTTCATTTATAACAGCAATCCTGTAAAGGAGATTGGGCTGAAAGTGATGACCCAGTCATATTAAGAGTTTCCACTGCTGAACTCGCCCACCTCTAGACCAAAAATGTAACCACTACAACAACACTGCTTATCTATGCTAATAGAAAAGAGTTGAACAATTGAAAATATCTGCATCATGAAGATGCACCTATAAGCACCATATCAATGAAATAGCAGGCTGTAACTGCAAATTTCAAAGAAATTTATATCCTTGTGCCAAGCTCTGTTATGTAGGAGAGCTTATGCAGCATAAGGGAACAAAAGACGATGAATAAGAAGCTGGTTTAACTTACCTGCAGGCCAGTTGCTACAGCTTCAACACTCTGCCATTCCCATGTGTGCTTTTCAGAGATAACACCAACTTTCACCAATATTGCAATAAGTGCAGCTTGCCTGTTTTAAAAAGATGAAATTATCATATAACTTGGTTATCACATATAAAATTATATTACCCATATAAATAAATTATGGCATGACACAATACATAATATATTTTCAAATGGAAAAATGAGTGCATATAATAAAGTTTGAAAGACTATAATCATAAACCAGCAGTGAAAAGAAAAAAACTAGGATTTGTAGTCATTTGGTCCAAATATAGAGAATGTGCATTCATCAAAATAAATTAAAAAAGAAAATAATTAAGTTTAATTAAACATTGCCCAAAAACTGCGGAGCTTGCATATTAACATAATTTCAGCATGAAATCAAAATCTGCACACTGAAAAAAATAATGTTGTGTTTTAAAATAACTCAGATACTAACACATTTCTAAGCAAAATTAGTATCGTAATTTTTCTAAGCAAAAATTACTTACAGATGTATCGTAAAGTGTTATACTGTTCCACATTTTCTCAAAGAACTCCAAATTTAAATGATATAGGTTGAAACTGAAATTTACTGTGAGATAAGTTGAAACTGACATAAATAAATGGTATTTACTTATATCAGTTTCAATTTATCTCACAATAAATTGGCATTCTTTTACAAAAAATGGAGTGGTATTAGTATTTTTAACCCTATCTGTACTGCCAATAAGTTAGGTATCTACTTACAATTTAATTTATATAATAGACTTTACAAAAAAGATTCTGGTTTGGTTAAAGATTTTAAGATTTTGAAGATTTCAACTTATTTGACTTACCAGAAGGAAACAAAAACCACCATCTTCACACAGAGAAATTTTCCTACAGGTCTGATTGGATTCAGTTCTTCCCGCAGTACTTTATAAAATAACACAAGGCAATACATGGCAAACTAAAACAGAGGAGTAACAATGCTTATCTGCTTATTATAACAATGATTATTTCAACATTTGGACTGTTTTTATTCTTTATATCATAACATTTCAGAATTTATTAGGCCAACATATTGTATCCATGTTCTGTGGCATATCAAGAGAAGGACCGCTATCTTATTCTTGCATGATTATTTTAAAAACTTTATATTTCTTATTCAATAAATAGAGAACTTCAAACATGTATCATAACATTCATTCTAGATAAATTAATCTAATTCTTCTATAAATATATATACTGTATGCAATCTCCAAGAGAAGACTAAATGATATTCTACACGCAACAGTAATATAACTAAAAATGATCAAATATTATTAAATAAAATAAAATAAAAATGATCAGATATTTGCTGTTGATCTCCTTTTATAAATCCCTCACTTGTATGCAATTCCACCAACATTTAATATCATGAAATTAAATATGGCATGCTAGATCTTTTTCTAGATTTATCTGTTAAGAAAATCAGGTAATTTTCTTATCTAGAATCGGAATTTAAAATAAAAGGCAAAATCATTATTTAATCTTACTGTAAATAGAATATCAAAGTTTCACTACTTACAAGCTGGGATATATTGTTGATAAATACCAGGTACGTCCAGGCATTTTTGAAACTAAAATTTCCTTCATCATAAACACCAATCAATTCACAGATTCTAAAAGAATTGAGTACAAATTATTGCAGAGAATTATTGCATGGAGTATAGCTGCAATAGAGCTAGTCTTGGAGACTCATTACCATTTATTATAAATAAATTCTAAACAAATGAGGACAAAATATAGAGAGTACAGTGACCAGAACTATTTATTATAATTCAACAAAGTCAATTTAATAGTTAAAAGAAAGATTACAAAACATCTATACAAATCACTTTATTAAAGTCATATGCTGGGCATTTATTGATAAAGATAATGCACTGAAAAGATGGAGGAAACTGACATTTCAGATTAAATTAAAATTTTAGTTATAAGAAAACTTCAAGCTTTGATATTAATTTTTGTTGGGAATTACTTACTACAAATATTAAATACTTTAATTCCTTAATAAATGTATTGAAACGCACAGTTAAACAGAGAGAAAAGTTAATGGTGCAGTTCCACATATAAAGAAGAGATGCAGAACCCATCTTTACTTATACACATGATCCAAATGTAGGATAAAAATTAACAACTGTTCCTAAATCTCAAAGCAAATACAATGGATATAAAAATGTCTAATTCCGAAAGTTATGTTTGATGCAAAAACTACACTACGATCAAAAGTAGACCATATCTACAGTGAAGCATGGTGATGGCAGCATTATGTTTTTGGACTGCTTTTCTTCAGTGGAATTGGGACTGTGGTTAAGATGGAGGGAATTATGAGCAATTCCAATTATCAATCAATTTTGGCACAAAACCTGAATGTCTCTGCTAAAATGCTGAAGATGAAGAGGAATTTCGCCTTTCAACACAATGACCCAAAGCATGGCTCCAAATCAATAAAAGAATGGCTTCACAAGAAGATCAAAGTTTTGGAATGACCCAGTCAGATTCTGCACCTGAATCCAATTGAAAACTGGAGGACCTACAGAGGGGTGCGGACAGGAGATGCCCTCATAATTTCATAGATTTGAAGTGCTTTTGCCATGAAAGAGTGGGAAAAGATTCCCAAGGTAAAATATGCCATGCTGATAAGTTCCTACCCAAAAAGACTTAATGCTGTAATAAAATCAAAAGGTGCTTCAACAAAATATTAGCTTAAGGGTACGCACACTTATGCAACCAACATTATTGTACATATTTATTTTTATCTTTCCTCCAAAAAGATTCATGGTCTTCTGGTTTTGAGCCCAATATCTTAACCACTGTACCAAACCAGTTCTCAAAAAATGTTTTTAAGTAGAAATAGACCAGTCAGTCCTAGAGGAGATCAACCCTGACTGCTCTTTAGAAGGGCAGATCCTGAAGATGAAACTCAAATATTTTGGCCACCTAATGAAAAGGAAGGACTCACTGTATAAGAGCCTAATGCTGGGAACGACTGAGGACAAAAGAAGAAGGGACTACAGAGAATGAGGTAGCTGGATGGAGTCACTGAAGCATGAGCTTAAATGGACTCCGGGGGATGGTAGAGGACATGAAGGCCTGGAAGAATGTTGTCCATGGGGTCGTGATGGGTTGGACATGACTTTGCGACTAACAACAACAACACACTGACCATTCAAAAATTAGAATGTCTTCTCTCTCATCCTTTAGGCAATGATCAATCTATTCCACTTACCAACAGAACACTGATAACTTGTCCTTTAACATGGTAGAGGAAACTTGTAAAACACCTGTGGCTGAACATGACTATATAGAGTTTTATCTATAGAAATTTTGGGAAGTTTGCTACTGGGGGAGAGTAAAAAAGTGACTGGACCCCCAACTACTTTCTTAATTTTTTAAAAAAAGAGATTTAATTAGAGTGTTTTTCTATGATCATGTTTATAATATTAGCATCACAGGCTATGGGTTCTGTTCTTTTATTGCCCATTCCTGAATTGGGAATGAATTTTGAACAAATATATAATCCTGGACTGATACAAGATAGACCCAAAAATAAGTCAAACTTTTATGTTATTTCACCAATCTTATTCACAAAATCTCATAAATTTTGGCAACTGTAAATTTTATTATTAGATGGGATCTTATCTATTTTATCTGCATAGCTTTGCATTACATTAACAATTCTTGGTTTTACGACTCTAAGATCTAAGTTACAAGTACAGCAGGAGAAAAACTAAATTCTAATACCAAAACATTTCTTGTATTATTTTATACTTACAAAGCAATAATAGTAGTGAATGGTCTGACCACTGTGTATTGTAAAACACCAAGCTTACACCTAAACAACAACACCCTACAAAAAAAGCACAGAAAGAACTTAAGAAATTAAGCAATATAAGCAACAATATTACATTGTAAGCAACAATTCTAGTTAGAATATGGCAACAACCTGTAGGATTGGAAGGCAAGGACTAGAGCAGTGGCTCTCAATATGTTCTTCACCACAGACCCCCTTTAAATATATTTTGTAACCACTGACCATGATCACTGACCCCACAAGACTTAAGATTTAAAATAGAATTTCTTCAAGCCTCTGCCGCCCCCCCCCCCAAGGGCTCCATGTACCAGAGATTGAGAACCACTGGACTAAAGAAAGAGATCAATATATAGATAGCAACATCAAAATTATACACTATTTTTAAAATCAGACTGTACTTAAAATACCATTGTTAGTATTCTTTGCTTAATTTTTATTCATGTTTAACTCCATTCAAGTTAGCAAGATCCAATCACTAAAATAACAATCAGTTCAGAATATTTTCCCATCTCAGAAATATGTTACCTTTCAAAAGCCAATTATTACATTTTCAGCCATTTATAGAAAGTCATGAAATAAAACTCTTCTTCCAATAATTAGCCATTCTAATTAACAGCACGCACTTGTTAACTAGTCACTCATATTCTCAGTTTATTTTTCTAATATTTTCTCCAATATATTTTTGCCTTCTTGCAGACCCACAATGTAAAAGACTATACATCAGTATATAATCCATCTTCATCAATACATAGATGCATTTTCTCCCTAAAATTTTTATTTTCAAGAAACATTTATGATATATTTAGAACTCTTCCTACTCTAGCTATTTTGAGTATTACTGGCTTCATTCACACAATAAGCTAATGACAGTTCGTGTTAACAAAAAGGAGAGAAACTCATATTCTAGCATGGAAATTATTTATTGGTAAATGCCATGTAAGACAATGAGTATGTGCTAACATTTCACTAGCCATGGTAGAATAAAAAAGCTTTAAAATACAAGACCATAGACACTATTTTCCCTAATACAAGGGGAAAAAATCATACATTAGCTTGGAGAATGTCAGCATCCTGCTATGATATAACAGAAGTATCTGTAGAGAAAATATATATTAATAAGCATATAAGTAATTTAAATCAGGATAAAGTTTGTGAATAGTTATCTACATAATGGTTAATGACTGATTTTAACCATAGTGATGGCTCCACAACTGATATTATAAAGGCATATGTTGCCAAGGTAAGTTCCAAATCTGTTCCAAAACTATTTCACCTGGCAATTATTTCAGTAAACTACAATACGGTTCTATATAAACTAATCCACAAGTAGATATACAGTATATAAACCATTGTTATAAACCACTGTCATAGTTAAGCTCTTCTCCTTCCCATCAACTGTACACTGGCTTTAGCTTCCATTAGAATTGCATGTTTTGTTAAACAAACATTAACAAACGAGAAGACTACAGTAGGTCTATTAAAAATAGGAACCCAATATAGAGACTTATTTAGATATAATAGAAACCTCTAACTTAAAGTAAGATAGTATCTTTTCACTCAGCTAGCATGAAACAAGAAAAACTAAGTTGGGGACAGATCAGAAATAAACTAGCAGAAAAAAATTCCCAGAATGTAAAATAATTTCCAGACACTTCAATTTTTTTTACCATAGAAGGCAAGTTAAAGGACACAAAAATGCACTCAATTCAAGGACACATTTTTTTCTCCAGCATATTTTACTTTATTGATTTACTATTCCAAGAAAGAGAAAGAAGGGAAAAGAACAGCCAGGAGGAGGAAGGGGCAACACAAAGAAAAGTCAAAAGGAAAAATTAAAACAAAAACATAGTTTGTTACATGTAGCAACCTCCTAAAGTATATCATTAAACCTTGACCACGGAGAATAAAGAGAACAGCAATCCAGACTGTAAATCTGACTGCACTGACTTTCCAATATTAAAGAGTATTCTATTTTGCTGCTTCTTGTACACAATATATGCATAATTCTTGATATAGTACCGTAGTAAGTTCCAAGCATTTGATTTATGATTCAGAAGTGCAATCATATCTTAAAGCACACTTTACAGATGGAATATTAGAATTGTTCCAGAGGTCTTGCAAATAACCAATAGGCATATTAGCAATTTTTAAGTGTTTATTTTAAAAATGCCGCTGGCTCACAATAATTCAGAACAAATTCCAGTATGGATAGTGTTCAGGAATTTTAGATGTTGCTAAATTTTATTGGAAAGGCTACTAAAAATAAAGTACAGCAAGAATATCTCAATTGCTATTGTCTATACAGCCAATATTTCATCTGTTATTTCGTATTCAATTAAAAGGATACCAGATTCTTTGGAAAATGGCTTGCTATGGCATCAAAATATTTAAACAGCAAACACAGGGAGAAAATTCTGCTTATTCCATTCCTTCTCAAGGCAAGTTAAACTGTCATTGAAAGGGTATATTGCTTTTTCACTCTTGCTTTACTGTACAATATTAGAAGACAACTGCCCCACAGCCTTTTGAAATAAATGGACAGAAACGTCTGCATAAGCAGTTATGATCTAAGTATAAGTAACATAGCATCTTGAAATAATACTTAACTCTATAATAGCAAAATCAATGGAACTAGATTGCACTAAAAGTCTTTAAAGATTTCTGTTACTAAAGTAGTCCTGGGAAAAAGCAAATAGAATATGAATTACTGAAAAATCAATATTTGTCTAAATTATTTAGAACAATAAAGTGTGTTATTTAAATATTTTCTTGAATCTTATTGGGAATACTTACCAGAAAATATACCAAAGAAATACAATACCTAATTAACGGCACCCAGAATAACATATGCACAAAATTGGAAAAACAACAATATACCAAAAGAGGAAGAAGTGATAAGAAAAACGAAAGAGATAAAAGAAAAGGAGGAAACAGAATATTATTTAATATGGAATAACTGGCTAGAGATTAGAAATAACAAATAAGAACAACTGGAAAAAATGTCACTAAGCAGATAGAGTATGTAAAATAATACATAGTTACAATAATATGTGTAATAGACAAAAGATTACGTATATAGATAAGGGATAGGGGACCACAAATATAAATATATGTAAAGATCATCAGGGGAAAAATGTAAATATTAGAAGAACACCGATGTGAAACTGTTGTAAAATGGAAATATATGATTTATGTTTGTGTTTGTTTTGTTTTTTTAAAAAAGAAACAACAATAAAAATTATTATTAAAAAAATATTTTCTTGAAATCTGGTTTCTTAACAACTCAAAAGAAGGGAAATATTTTAATATATTAGTATTATAGCCAATTTCTAGTACAAAATGTGAAAACAACAGAAAAAATATACGAGGCACTTACTCTCCCATAGCCCATGGTGGACAGCAACACAGTGGTGGCAGATGTCGCTGCTGATCTTTGGCTTCTATGATTAACACCAAATTTGGATACCGGTTGATCAGATAATTTGAAAGAAATACCATGAAGTTATAGATCACATATGCTTCATAGCATTCTCTACAAGTATCCACATATATTGCAATGTTGGGATATTTCAGCGCAATCCACTAATAAGAGAAAAGAACAATCAATGAAACAATAATACTCAAAATAATTTTACATTGAAATTCCATCATAAATATATCTCAATACTGTAGAAAAGCATTTAATAACAAAAAACCTTTACAAATAGTTTTCAAATATAGTATCAAACATAAGCAACGAAAGGTCAAGAGTTCATTATCCTGAGATGTGCACATTTATTCCCCATTGCATAACTTGTGTTCCCCTAACGTTCTATACCAGTGATGGCTAACCTTTTCTAGACCAAGTGGCCAAAGTGTATGCAGGTGCGCACAAATGCGCACGTGCTCGAATCCCCAAAATGTAATGCGCGTGTACCCCCGCACATGCGCCCTGGTACACATGCATGCACGAGCCCCCGGCACGTGCCCCCCTGCACATGCCTCACTCCCTCCGCATGCTCATGCACCACCCCATATGTGCCCCGTCCTCCGCGCATACATGCCAAAGACCCGACAACCAGCTGCCTGGCAGGAGGCATGCACACATGCGCGGCAGAGCTGAATGGGGCGACGGCTTGCATGCCCACAGAGAGGGTGCTATGTGCCATCTGTGGCATGCGTGCCATAAGTTCACTATCACGGTTCTATACTTGGAAGCAATTCATCTATGTACAATTTTTTGTTCATATTTCCTTCAGCTTTCTTCAGATGACCTTAAAATAACTGACTATATTCATACGTCTGTTACATTTTTATAAAAAGTAAAATTTTTGTAAAAATTTAGTATTTATTTTATAAAACATAAAAATATCAGAACATGAAAAGTTGCTATTATTACAGAAAATAACAGTGCAACCTGATAGAAAAGTAAAGCACTTACACTGTCTAAACTGTAAATTGGCACCATCCATAGAATTCTGTAACAATAAAAACATGTTTGCATATTATGAGACTTTAATTTAAAGTGTCTGGATTGCTATGAAAGCATAACCAGCTATCACACTTGCAGAAACTTACCTTATTATTGGTTTCTGTAATTCTGGTTGAGTATAATGAACTAAATGTTGTAATATCCCCCAAAGAGATATTGGTATTGTCATCAATAAAAAGATACCGGCAATAAACCATGCTTTAGTATGAACTCCAACCTTTAAAAAACAGACATACACATGCATTAAAAGGACAGCATAGGAACATTGATAGATTAAAAAACAATGGTCCTACATTGATAAAGCAGGCTGCAATCTTATCAGTACAAGTAACTGTCTGAAATAGAGAGTTTTAATAGACAAAATATGCATTACAAATTTCATTTCTTTGCAAATTGTGATTAAAATAGATTTAAATATACATAAATATAAAAACTGCAATATTTACAATTACATCCAAATATCTACAATAACTATTTTCCATTAAGATGTAAGTCGCCCATAATGTAATTCACAGCATTGCACATTTCTCTGCTTCTACATTAATATTTCTAGCAGTACATCATTTAGTAGGCCTACTATATACAGCATACATTATACAGTATGCACAATATATATTGCCTCTGAAGTAAAGCTTGAAAAAGAAAAAGTATATGCAAGCAAATGGGTAATATGATATAGCATTATAGTAAATGTTTTAAAGTGTTCTCTGGCTTTAATTTTACATTGAAGAATTCCTTATATTATATAAACAATTCCAATTACATAAAGCAGAGTTAGCAAGTTTCTTCATGCACAACTTTATGACAAATCTAAAAAAACAAAAGATCATTAAAGAAGCATTCAAGAAAAGATCTAGATTATGAATAAATTAATTACTTCAGTTCAGGATGGTAGTAAAGCATTCTGTATCAATACAAACTCTGAAAGTTATAAGCCATCCATAGATATGAAATGTATTTCCAGGTATTTGTTTCCCATAGCATAAATAGGAATAAACACCAAGCAGAAAAGACAGAAATGTGTGGTGGATTAGGCAGTTATTAATGTGTATGGGTGCAGACAGATATGTTTTGATTTTATTAATGAATCAACTGCTACTCAACCTAAATAAGCAAGGATGAATAGCTGCAGGGAAAGTTGTCTTTCATATACCTAAATATTTTTAATCTGCGAAAGATAATTATCAGGTAGTGCCTATTACCAGTTGGGACTGGTAATATGTAGTTACCCAGATTTTTTTGAATTCTTAAGAGACTAATCACCATGGTTAATGGTGAGAGATGCAAGCTTGTGGTTGGATGTTCTGAATTCTCAAGATAAAATATGAACAATACATGAAACACAATATACCTGCGAACATGACAAGTTACTAGAGAAGTGTTTTATGTTTTTTCCCTACTTCTTAGTAATGTAAAGATATGAAAAATTACATTTTTGCTTTGGAAGAACTTTAGCTTTCTCTGTTTTTTTTAAAAGACTTCATCAGTTTTCCCAATAGCTCCAAAGAAACTATGTAAAGAATTGTCCCGTTTCTAGAAAATTATGTTCAGCAAAACCGGCTTGATACAGAATCGGTCCACTATGATGGATGGCTTATGCCTTAACAGTTTACCCCCAAATTCCAAGTCTTAAAAATGAGAAATGTAACTTTTGTCATGCACTCAAAGCATTTCAGCCTTGTTGCAAAACTACAGTCTACTTTAACGAAGGTTTAAGTTTTAGATAAAAGTCTTTCTAGCCATAATTAAACATGACAATGTCCAATCTATTACTGAACAGTAGCATCACTGTTACTAAGAAATGTGCAGCTTTCAGCTTTCTAAACCATATACCATATCAAGACAATGGCTAAAGCATAGCCAAGACACTTTGATGCTATCTGTGCCGTCAGGATTTTTGCCTCCCAGGTCTGGTTAACCCTAAACAAACATCACCGCACTTTTGGCTCCTGAATGTTTCAAGAGTTAGGATCTGTCAGACTGGATACGGGTGCAAGTGGAGCTTGCAAAAGTTTTTTAGGATTGTTTGAATGTCCCTGTGAACATGACAGTAACTAGAGAAGTGCATTTGATGTCTTGCCCCAACTTCTCTGTCATGTAAATATTCCCAAACAAGTTCCCCAACAGTGACATCAGGAAACCCAGTATTTAAAACATCCCTTTCCCCTGCGGAAAAACTTTCTCCCAGATCCCTGATCCCTTCAGATGGCCGGAATATTAGCCTGAACAGCTGGCTCAGTGGCTAAAACACTGAGCTTGTCGATTAGAAAGGTTTGGCAGTTCGGCGGTTCGAATCTCTAGTACAGGTCTCCCCTGCGTGAGCAGGGGGTTGGATTATATGACCTCCAAGGCCCCTTCCAACTCTGTTACTGTTAATTGTAGATTTTAAATTTGTCCAAAACTTTAGGGGTGTTTTAATCTGTTCCGGGCCAAAATTATTTAATTAGGTTTTTATACTGTTTTTAAATTTTGTAATCTGTGCGTTTTATCTCTTGGCTGTTCACCGCCCTGAGTCCTTCGGGAGTAGGGCGGTATATAAATCTAATAAAATAAAATAAATAATAAAAGAGGGTGGTCGTAATTCCAGATGGGGTTTTACCCTCCTATCAAGCCTGGAAGACGCCAGAGGGGGAGACAAGCTCCCGTCACTACCGTATTGCGCACTTCGGGAAGTGACTGGGATGGGGATGGAGAGGCGGCTACGGCCGGGAGGAGGGAGCTCCCCTTCCCCGTCAAAAGTCCCGGAAGAGAAGACCAGCCGTTGCAGAGGCAACAGGGAAAGGCCGGCCGTCGTTTCTCCCCTCGCAGAGGCAGAGCTGACTCATCTCCCGGCGCAGAAGTGTGTGGGGGGGACCGTGGTGGGGGGACGGACCGGAGTGGGGTGGGATGGGGGGGAAGCAGAGGGTCCCTTCCCCCGACCTGGCGTCCTCTTCTTCCCACGCACCTCCAGTTTCTGCAGCTCCCAGACGCAGAGCGGCACGGCCACCAGCAACCCCACCAGGTACACCGTGGCCACCAGCGGCCGGATCCAGCGCCGCCAGTTCCCGCAGGTGCAGGGCATGGTGATGCTTGCTCAGACCCGGAGGCGGGGTGGGGGGGAAAAGAAGAGGGAAGCTGCCTGCCCTCAACGCCACCTCGGTGCTGTGGAGACCGGCCGCCGGGTTATGAACTGGCCAGGAGGGCCACGCAGGTGCATCGCCGCAGGCTGCCTCCAACCCCGCCCTTCCGCCGCCATCCGCCGCTCGCCGCCGCCTTCTTGCCCCGCAGCTGCCCCGCGCGAACAAAAGCAAGGCGCCCTTCCCTTCCCTCCCTCTCCTCTCCCCGCACGGAAACTAACGCGGGGCTGCTCCCGCCCCCTCCCCTCCCCACCCACGACCGGCGCCGAAGAAGACAGCGCGCAGCAGCACTTCCGGCTTCTTGGCATAAACAACCCTCCTCCCGACCGCAGCCAGGGTGTCATTGGATGAGGCTCGTGGGTCACGTGGCGGTCACGTGGCCTCCCTTGGAGTCCCTTAGACAACGTGGTTCCGTGGATGGTTAGTAGAATTGGAGTCAAAGGGGAGACTTTCCTGAAAGTTGATTTCCACCTATAACAATAGTTCTTAGTTACTGCTTGGTCCGGTAATGCAAGAGCTTTACCCTTTTTTTTAAAAAAAACTATTAACTATTATATTATTATAATTATTATGTAGGAAGTTAGCACCCACCCCTTTCCTGGAAGAATGAAATATTTTAGGAAATATGAAAAAGGCAGAATATTATATTTCCCTGGATGAGAAATTTGAGAAGCCTATTTTACAGACAAAGCAGCTCCCACCTTCCTGCCCCCCACCCTTTGTCAATGGGCCATTAAGGCCTGGGCCAGTCTATTCTACATAACAAAGATCTACCTCCTTCAGGCAGAGCCATAGTAGGAATTGCCAAAGATGGGATTAGCCCTCTACACAATAGCAGCAGAAACTCACCACATGTGACCTGGGAAGCACATGTGACCATCAGCCAGCAAGGCCCCCACCCCCTGGGAGTCTGACAACCAATCAGGATACTCTTGGGGCCCCAAGAAATGCAGAGCCAGAGAGAGCATAAAAACCCAAGGATTTACTGTATCTGCCCCTTTTCTGTTCAGGAACTCAAACCATGTGATCCTATCCACCATTAAACCATCTTTCCAAGCAGTCTCCATGTTTCCAGTGTCTGTTTCCCCACTTGGAGCAGAACCTAGAAGGAAGTTTCTTCCAACAATTATTATAAGTATTATTATAAGTATTATTATAATAGTGTTTTCCTTTGGGATTGATGCAATCCTATGTACCTTCACAGTTTTAATCAGCCCGCAATGAATGAATATTGTTTAGGATGTGACATATTCTAAGTCAAAAGTCTTCAAAGTTGGTAGCTTTAAGACTTGTGGACTTCAACTCCCAGAATTCTCCAGCCAGCTATGCTAGCTGGAGAATTCTGGGAGTTGAAGTCCACAAGTCTTAAAGCTGCCAAGTTTGGGGACCCCTGTTCTAAGTACTTTTCTCCATCTCTTTCTAACTTTGCCTGCTTTACCCGGCCTTGTCTCTTCAGGAATCCCATCAGTTACATGCCCCCCCAAATTTCCCAGTCTTTCTTTTTCCCTGTTCCCTATTTCCTCTTCCATCATGCAGTAAATTGGTTTTGTGATTCAGTCTTCATGAATGCTGTCTATATAACCAAGCTAGCCAAATGTAGTTCTTTTGTAGACTGTGCCCTTTGTGTTCAGTCATTCCTTCATTCCTGATTCTGGCTTTTCTTGCTTGTTATACATAAGTATACTGTTATACTTAAGTTATCTTTTTTAATTACATCCAGCTTTTGCTTTTTCCTGACATTCCAAACTCACTTCCATATAAAAAGAGGAGAAATGTGTTAATTAGTCCCAAGAAATAACTATGCTATCCTTGTATGCCATTTGTAATTCTTGAAATTATCTTCTACCAAAGTACATAAATTCACTTACTTCCTCTTTTCCCCCACCATTTATATACAACTTGTTTAGTAAATTTTAGTAAATCTTTTCAGCATCATATAGTTATTGTTTTCTGTAGATATTTGTGTTCTTAATCAACAAATGAGTATCTGCTATATACAAAAATATACAAAATATATATACTCTAATCCTTAGCCAACACATCTGTGACATCACAAGCATTTCTTAAATATATATCTATTTATATATTAAACATGATGCATATCTTTATACTTAGACATACTCTACTTAAATTAGTCTTATATTAGCAATCAGCTTTCAGCACTAATATTTTATAATTCAAGCCTATTTACTTTTCCATATCTTAATTTAAAAATAAACAATAACCTTTGTTATATTCATTTTCCAATAACCTGCTAAAGAGCAAAATTCTATTCTGAATTTTCCATGCTTCACTGTGCTTCCCAAATTTTGCACATTATTGCTTTTGATCAGTATTGTGTGTTGAACTAATTAATTCCTGTTTAATTTAGTTGACTTTTCATTAGTATACTATAGGTGAACAGTAATGGATTTTTCCAGTAATTAGATAAATAGGTGGTCTTTATACACACATTAAACAAGTCACACAAATCACTACATAAACAGACAAAATATTCTAACATTCCTTTACTAGCAACTTTAGCAGGCTTTGTGGATTTTTCAAATCAACTATTTGGAAATTTTCCAATCTGATTGGAGCTGTGCTGGAAAGTTGTATTTTGTTGTTATTCTTTGAATTTGTCTGAGCCCATAGAGCAGGGACCTGTTATGTGTGATCTGTTGAAGTTTCTGAGTGAAACATCAGACATTTAAGAAGCATGCTCCACAGACAAAGGCTTTTGATATCTAACTTCTGTTGGAGAAATATTGATTGGAAATTGATCCTTGGAAAACTCATTAGTGAACTGGTGCTGCTGTTGCAAGAGATAGTGATTGGTTCTAAGTATCAATTGTCTGTCTCTCCTTGATGCAACCTCCACAGCCATAATCCTATTTTTGTTTTGTTTCAGCTTTGAGTGGAATGAGTGTTGGTTTCAGTGAGATTAAAAAAAAAAAAGACACAGATTCCTTCACTCTTACTTTTTAAATCAGCACCTCCCAAATATTTCTGCCCATCCAAAATACCTCCACATGTCATATTTGTTTATTTGGTAGATTTTATTATTCAAATTGATTTTGGTAGCCATTCACTTCTATAGAGTCCAGTATGCTCTTAACCGCTTTCTCTTCTGCATAGCTGAAACATCTGAAATTGTTTGGAGGTTTTATTTGTTACAAAATGCAGAAAAATCCAATCATTTCAGCATTTGTTTTTCTCAAAGCACAACTGATCTGAAATAGCATAATAGAACTCCCAAGAGGTAAAGTTTTCCCTGAATGGAGAAACAAATCTCATTTTTCATTTTATGTACACTTCTAGTTTACAGCAGTCATTTCAATTTAACTTGTTATATCCCAATCATTTCCATGCAGCTCTCTCCTCGTTTCAATTTTATCCCAAATCATGTCATCACTTTTAATCTTAATTCCATTAATTTTGATCAATGGTCCTTTTAACCTACTTCCAAAACTTGTTTTTAATCTCCATCAAAATTGTTCTGTGTTTTCTCTTCCTCTTTTAATCTCAGTTGTTCTGTGGCCCCTTAATTACTTTTTTGCAACTGTTTATTAATATTGGTATTAAGTAATAATATTGTGAGATATTGTGGGTAGGATGGGAAGGTAATAGAAGGGAAATTGGTCATAAATAAATCAAAAGACCAAAGGAAGCCAATTGGTAGTTTATTTTATAAATTGCAACTCAGTCCAAAGTTGGGCTCTCAAATGGGCTTTTCCAAGAAGCTTCTTCAGTTCTGACTGAATGGTGGGGAGTAGAAGGATTTATATTCTTTGCAGTCATCTGCAGTCATCTGGTTACGCACAACATAGGAGAACAAACCCATCAGGACAAGATTCAACAGTCCATCAGCATTTGAATGGCAAACATCGTTTTTTGAAGACAGCAAAGTCCACATTCTGGATAGAGAGGATTATTGGTTTGAAAGTGGGTTCAAAGAGGCCATCTGTGTTACAATTGAATAGCCCCCTGTCAACAGACGGGGAAGGATACAATACCACTTATCCCCTGTCTACCATAGAGTCCTTTCAGCGGTCCCAGGAAGGTTCCATACCAATTTGCATTCTGATTCAGTTGACTCTGAGAATACAGATAAATCCCCAAGTGGCCTCCATGTCTCTCAGAGAACTAATGACAAAACCTTCAGAGTGCTAAGGACCAGATTTATATAAAGAATATAAATTCTTCTATTCCCCACCATTCAATCAGAACTGAAGAAGCTTCTTGGATGAGTAGTGAAATGTTATCAAGGGAAAAAAAACCCAAGAAAGCCCAGTTTCCTTTTGAAAAGCATCTTTGGGACAACCATAACCTGGATGATTAAGAATCTCAATATGACAACAGTTCAAATTGTATGAAACCTGGGAAAGGTTAGAAAGATACTTTGGATATATAAAACCAAGGGCTACTTAAACCAGAGAGAATCTATATTTGAATGTAAGTGGGCTTTTTTGCCCAGAAAATATTTTCTGCTGATCAAGATAAATATTAGGCTTAATGAGCCATATGAGATATATTCAAGTCTAATGAAATACATACAGTCATTAAAAAACATACAATTATTTATGGAAGAAGATAACTAATGGATGGGGAAGAGTTAAGTACTCCTTTGCTTTTATTATTTTTGTACTTTCCCTAGGCCCTTTTCATAACAAAAATTAAGGTTGTGCAAAGATATAAAGTAAAGACACAAAGGACTCCTTTGAAGTTGCTTCCAAAAATTACATACACCCTGCTTCAAAAAAAAAAAAAAAGTCTTTCAACCTTGCTTTCCTTTTATATTGCTTCTGGAGACTTTTTCATCATGTGCAAGAAGCTGGAAGAGGCTTCTGCTTGCTGGAGGTACACTTGATAGTTTTGCAAAGAGAAATTGTATTATTGCTATACATTGACAAGGCACAAAGCCTTGTTCCAGAGGCACAGCCGCTTTGACAGACCTAATCATCTTAGCAGTGGATACTGCGTTACCACATACCGTGTTTTCCCGAAAATAAGACCCTGTCATATATTTTTTGAACCCTGAAATAAGCGCTTGGCCTTATTTTCAGGGAGTTCTTATTATTTTGGGGCGCGTGGAGCAAGATGGGGCTCCTCTTGCCGTCTTATCTGATATCCAGCTCTATATTTAAATATTTTTGGGGAGGGCTTATTTTCTGGGGGAGGTATTTTAGCGCATGCACT